CATTTGTACTGCAGTCATGCTGTTGGCTCTGGGGCCTGCTTTCTAAGTCAATACAATCCCAGAAGACGGAAGGAGACACCTCTCTCGACTGGAGAACACTTCACCCCACCCTAAGAAGGTCAGACAGCTCCACTAGGAGGGCCTGGGCACCATCAGGACGGGGGGAAGGGGTGCTAAAGAGGCATTACTACTACACCTAATCCCTGCTACCAAAACAGCCCAGCATTGCCTAACCCTGTGGTAGCAGTTTCCTGGCTGGAGGAATGGTTCATGTCCTCTGCTCTCCTTTCTTCTGGAGGGGAAGGCATCGACTTTCTAAAGCCGGTTCACTACCACCAGTGGAACGTTCTTGTCAACTGAACTTTGATCCCTTAGAACACACCACTCTGCAAGGCTCCGACGGGCACCTCTGATTGCTGACGACCACCACCACCAAGCAGGTCACTGCTCACCATAAAACTGCAGATGGTAGAATTGCCTTCTCTACAAAGCTCTGTATTAGCGTCTCTCTATTCCCTCAAGGAGCTGGTATCTGAGGCTGGAGCCTCACAAGACAAGGTTGTCTCTACCATTTGGCAGGATATCAGCAACCAGCAGAGCCCTCATGAGGCTGTGTCTCTCGGGGAGACCGCAGCTGAGTCTGCAGGAGGAAGGGTTGAGGTTGGGGATCTCCTCCTATCTGCTTCTTTCTCTCTTTTCCAGGAGGTGTACAGTGCTTCCTCCTGGTGACCTTGTCCTTGTATGGGTCACAGGGTGAAGGGTTAGGTAGGTCCTGTAGGGTATTGGGCATGGCAGGAAAAGAGGAATGAGATAGGAAGGAGGCCTCCCCTGAGGAATGGGTAATGGGGGGAACTTTACTGTCTCTACCAGCTGAGCTTTGGATATAAGGAGCTGGCTCCCTCTGCTAGCCCAGGACTGATCCACAGAACACAGAACTTCTACCTCTGTGACCTTTGCTGGATTCCTATGGTACCAGTTCCCATGCCCACATCTAAGAACGACAAGACTGGACTAGCATATACAATGCATACCACACTCTCACTGGTTCTGTCATACTGAACATTGTCATTGGGCTCCTGTGGAACTTGTTGGTTGGGCAACCCCATCTGGATACTGACTGGAAATTTATGTGTGACTTTTTCAAGTCAACAGCATAGTCCTTCCTCTCCAAGATGAGTGACAGGCATTACACTTGGACTTCAGTGGCCTGAGGAAGGAGAAGGTATATGGGGAGCCAGGAAGCCTGAGGTTGGACTCTAGTATAAACCTTACTGACAGCGTGGGGCAGCCCTTCACCTTCTTTCTAAGTTTCCCTCTTCCACCCATCCTTGCCTCCTTGGCAGAATCACCGAGCAAAACAAAAGTAAGTCGCATACTTAAAAACATAACTGAAAACAATTATTGGAATTTAAAAACAAAACAAGAATGGAAACAGTCTGTACCCAGTGCTCAGCTCTATGACCCCTGTTCCTCCTGTAACTGTCCAGTTCAGAGTCTAGAAATCTTTACTGGATAGTTTCCCCATGGGGCCAAGAAACTACGGGATCTAGCCAAGGCCAACCCACTTGTCAGATGTATAGCCTGAGTCAAAGCTTGATTATCTAAAATCCATGTGGATTCACAGCAGAAGACCAGAGCTGAAAGACTATCTAGTCCAGCCTGTACCATCTACTGATGGGAAAACTAGAGTCCAGCAATGAAGCACTGGCCCAAGGCCACTCAGCAAGTGCATTTCTCCAGAGCGACAGTCCTGAATGCCCAAGCTGGCTCTTGGTCAGGCTGTGCCTTGTCAGAATTCCAGGTCTAGCACTTCAGGGCTGGCTAAGCTTCTGTTCTGCACCAAGGACCCCACAAATAAATTTGGTTCAAACATGTACTGTGTCCCTCTCTGGCACTGTCACATACTGTGACTGTCAGAGTTTGGGCTTTTTCTTCTTAATAACAAGAACGGAGAATTCATCTACCCTGGTTAAACTCGAGGCCTCCAAGAACTCCAACAGTCTCTCCAACCATAAAGTGTGACTGGGTCAGTAACCGAATGACCAGACATGTCTCACACCACTCCAGAGTACTGGATAGGCACTGCCTATCTCAGAAACTTAGACCCGAAGCAAACAGGGCATCTCCTGCACTGTTGGCCCAACCTTCTAACTCCATGAGTGGCCTTCTGCATTGTGGTTGGAGGCCTAACAGAGGGAGTCCTGCATGATATCTTGTGAGCCTCCGTAGGCGGTAGTCAGCTGTCCCCTCCTTACCACTGTGGAGCCCCTACTGGTTTCTAAATTTAGGACAAACTAGTGTTGTGGTTTTGACTTGGAGAAGTTGTATGATACTGCAGGACAAAGCTGGCCTGGCCACTGGGCTGGCCTCCCAAGACACAGCCCTCTTGCAGCACAGCCACCTGCCTAGGCTATAGCCAAGAAGTACAATTGTTGACAACAGATAAAACCCCCGATATCATCTCTACTTCCCTTCCAATATCAGAGTGGCTGCCTGAAGACAGTAAAGGGTGGCAATCAATCGCTAATATTCCTGTCGAGAGTTGATCTGTTCCGGAAATGGGCTGTTGACTTCCTCCTTTACAAAGAGATGCCCTTTCTCTTTGCAGGGGCCCAGGCCAAGTGGTCAGCATCAAAGACAGCAAGCACCATGCTGAGTGCCTGGGCTGCCCTACCTCCCTTCATCGAAAGGAAGGAGAATGATGCTGGGGAATAAAAAATACAAACTGCTCACAGTCAGTGAGAAAGCAGAGAAGTCAGGGCTCCAGAACCATCCTGAATGGCCCAGCCAACCCTTGGCAGTGCACCTTGCCTGGGGAAGAGAGATGACCTCAAGGCAAGAATCTAAAAGATACCCCTGTTTAACAGTGGCTGGTAGTGGCTAAATAAGGGCAGGAACCAGTTTGGGCTTTCTGACCACACACCCCCAAACGTCATAGGGGAGGGCCCACAAAGTATGAGTGGAATTAGAACTTAACCATGGAAGATTCTAGCAAAGCAGGAAGCTGGGAGCTGCCCACATATCAACAGACCCATTCCTTGTCCTAGGCTCAGGCCAAAATAGAAGTCAACGGCCTATTTTTAAAAATACAATTGGCAGAACTAGAGAGATGGCTCAGCAGTTAAGAGCACTTGTTCCTCTCACAGAGAATGCAGGTTAAATTTTCAGTACTCACACGGTAGTTCATAACTATCCATAACTCCAGTTCTAAGGGATCCAGCACTGCTCTGATCTCCATTGGCATCAGGTACATACATGGTTTACATATGGATATGCAGGCAAAATATTCATACACATAAAATAAACTTTATAAAAAGTACTTAATTTGTTTAAAAACAAAAACCCACAGTTAGCTACTCTCCACTTCTCACTACAGAGCCTGCAGCGGGAACATGGGAGCTAAAAACTCCCCTGAGAACACTCAGGACAGAGACACGAGTGGCTGAGATCCTGGGGTGAGTTCTGTCTACCAGGCAGGGAAGCCGTGCTTTCCCTGCGTCAGGGGATCTGTGAAACCATGTGCAGAGACACATGAACAAGAGAAAACTCCCACTGAGCAGGACAAAGTAGAGAAGCTGGCTGGATCAGCGTCCCCTCTGGTACAGCTCTGGCCTTTCTTGGGTCAGCAGGCCCCAGGGGGTTTTAAGCTCTTGCTTTCTCTCAGCCTCTCCTCAAGTCTGCAGTCTGAAGCAGCTCCTGTCTCCATACCTTGGACAAGGCCCCAGTTCTGGTGGCATGCTGGGAGCACGCAGACAGGCACGTGGCCATCTGATGGCCTGAACTGTCGTCTCTATATCTCTTTCTTCTCAATGCCAATCTGACGAGCAGCCTGCTGCTTCTGCTTTAAGGAGTAAGCCAACTTCACTCATCTTCTTAGTGAGTATGTGCTCTAGCCTTCCTCTTCCCGGGTTTACCAGGAACTAAAATGTGCAATCTTGCGAAGTGGAAGTATCTCCTAGCCAAGGTACAGTGATTCCACGGGGTGTCAGTTTTGTCTCTGCTCATGACTCCAATGTTCCCGTCATGCACTGTGCACAGGGCCCTCTGGCCTAACTCTGAATTCCTGGGCTTTCCATTAAGAGCTGTCTCCACAACCCTGTCTGGGAGCCCCAACCCTTCAGAAGGCATGAACAACCAGGACCTTCTCCAACTCAGTGAGGACAGGCTTGAAAGAGTGGACGATGTCACAATCAAGAGCTCCACTAGGAACGTCTCTTTCTCACAGTCCCGCGGCTGAGGCTGCCAGCACTCCAGGCGGCACTTCCCAGCCTCGGCTTGGCGGAGGAGGACCAAGTACCAGAAGGGAGAGAATAAAAAAGGAGGTGTAGAGGGGAGGGGGTGGCCACACCCTACCCTGACAGAACAGGACAGGTGACTTCACACGTCCCATAACCACACCCCACCAGAAAGACCAACAGTGTGTTGTAGAGAAGGCGGGGCTCCCATCCCATGTGGGACCCGTTCCTGCCTGTGGTGGGCAGAGTGCGGGCACAAATACTGCCAGGTGCTGCTGTGTTCACACTTGGGGTGAAAATTAGTGGTTAACCAGCAAAAGGATGCTGAGACCTGCGGGGGGGGGGGGGGGGTCCTTGTCTTTCTAGTTACGCCTAAGGTTTGTAGTTTGGACAGGAAAGGTAAACATGACGATGACAGCGGCAACAGAACAGAAACAAAGGACGGTTTACTCATTAAAAGGGGGAAGACAAAGAATACATCTTTTGTCAAAAAAAAAAAAAAAAAAAAAAAGCTCCACACTGGCCTGAACCACTGACCTCCCCACACACTGGAGTGGGCAGAGGGCACTGCCATAGCCCGCCTGGAGGTAGGCACATTCCCATCTCTTTCTTCCCTTCTGCGGCTTTTCGAGAAGTGGATGAGATGAGGTGCGGGGCCTCAACCAGCACAAAGCAACTGTATTTAAACCATGGCAAACCGAGCTGCTTTCCCCTGTGCGCCTCTCCTCCCACCTGCCCAGCACAGGGCCCCAGGCCAGCACATACCTGAAAGAAACCTGGAGGGATGGGGCCTCCGGGCATCCCATCATTGGGGGGAATGTTGCCAAGCACGGGGCTTGGGGCAGCTGCTGCACTCTGTGGAGACAGAATAGGAGGTCAGTAGCAAGCATGCAACCATACACAGAGTCCCTGCTCTAAACAGACCTCCTATGAAAAGTCCTGCAGAGATGTTAGTCACTGGGCAAGCCATGGACTCGGGGCCCCCACTGCTTCTTCCTTAAAATGGGGGGGGGGAGAGAATGCCTACTTCTAGGTACACCAGAGGAGGGGGGGAATAGGGACACAGTAGACCAGTACAGTGTCTATTGTTGAACCACACCTTGCCTTTCTACCAGCTGCTCTGAGAAGCAGGGAGACCAACTCACAAACAGTGGTACCCTCTCCAAATTGCTGACTTGTTGCATAGAGCAGGTCAATAAATATCCAGTAAGAAAATGCCCAGGTTAGAAGAATACGTGTGCTCTGACCCTCACTGGGTACCAAATGACTCCTGAGAAGAGTGTGGGTTATACAATGGGAGGTGGACGTTGCTTGCTGAATGCTGCTGTCCTGGCACCCACCTGGTTGGTACATCTGCCTCGACCAACGTCTCCCTGGGGTGGGCAGACACTGGATGTCCCACCTGGACACCTTCCAACAATCTGTGTCCAACCTGTGTGGCCAGACATGCCTGGCTCTGTGCTCACATGTGCAGAGCTGAGGCTGAGATGCCAAAGCCCTACCTTGAGAAAGTCACAGACCTGGGCCACCTACCTGAGCTTGACTCCTGTCTTTCCTACTCAAGCCAAACATCCAGGTCCACCTGACCACTTCCTCCCAACGCCACTGAGACCCAGAGCCTGACATTTCCCATCAGTCACCTTCTATTTCACGAATGCAGCCCCTTCTTATCCCTCCCAGAAGTTACTTCTTTCCTTTCCTTGGTATCTTGACTAACATTCTGGACTACTACATTATGAAGTGATTTACTCTGACAACTATAGTTCTACTTTCATAGAGAAACATTCAAGTTCTCTGTTATTTGGGCATTTGGACTTGTTACATATTACGGTATTTGTTACAGTGGGATGGGGGCAAACTTTTACATGAGAGACTGAACCTGTGAGTACACTGCTGTTTTACTTTCAAGAAATGGGGGGTTGGGGTGGGGTTCTGGGGATAACGGGTAGGTCCTACTTAAGTGGGTGGTAACTTCCAGTATTTCACAGTCCTCCAATGGAAAACAGCCATAACAACCATAACAACCATGCAGCCTTAGGGGCAGGAAGCCAGGAGACGGCTTTTTTCACGTAAAGCCTGCTCCAGCGGATAAACGGAGGGGCTCTGCTTCAGCTGGAGCAGGAACGGAGACTTAAAAGGGCAGAAAAGCAGCAACTGGTGCCAAGAGGCAAATGCTAAGCGACTGGGGGGAGCTCACCCAGGGGACCTGGTCCACATCTGGCCCACCCTCACGCTCCCACACCTTAACCACAGGGTCTGCCTACTTCTGCCCAAGAACCAGCACGAGGTGTGGCATACAGCAAGTGTTCAATAAATGATTGCTCTATTATTCAAAGGCCTGCCCAAATCTGACCACCTTGGAGCCAGACCTTTCAGGATTGCGAAGAATTGGCCTCTCCCCGTGGTTTCGAGCACTGAGAGTTCCATTAAGGCACTCAACGAAGTCTCTCGCTTGAGTTTTCTCAACAAACTCAAACACTGGGCACATTCTCTAGGTCTACAGCATACAAAACCACACAGCTGCCTAGGGTGGAATAGCCACACATGAATCGAAGCAGAAAGGACGCTAGATCTAAACGGCCAGGGTCTCATACACTGGACTCAGGTCCCTTCTCATGAAGGGTTATCATTTCCTTTGTTTTCTCCCTCCCCCCTCACTCCCCTACAACAGGGTTTCTCTGTGTAGTTCTGGCTGTCCTGGAACTCTGGTCTTGAACTCAGAGAGATCTGATTGTTTCTGCCGTCCAAGTGCTGGGATTAAAAGCATGCGCCACCACCTTTCCTTAAGTCCTTCCTTTCCTTAAGGACTGCCCATCCTGGTACACATATAATGGGAAGAGGGGGCCAGAAAAAAGCACAGCACACAGCACCAAGTGGCAACCTTCCCTCACTACAGAGCACCCTGAGATTCAAGATTAAAAGCACCTAGAGACCTGTGTGTCTCTGAGCCCTGGCATATGGGCTCTAGACCCTAGATGCCCATTTCCAGGACCAATTCTAGCATGGACACATGAACAAAGGAGAAAACACGAATGCACACGCATCCATGCACACACATGTAAATATACATACACACAGACACACAGACACACACACAGGAATACATAGATTCTTACATCTGTGCCCAGGAAGTTCCAGGAAAAAAAAATGAATAAAGTTAAATACTCATGGATTATTAAGATGGTTCAACAGGTAAAGGTGCTGGTTGGCAAGCCTGATGACCTGAGATCAATCCCCAATACTCCCAAACTATCCTCTGACCTCCATGTGCATGTTGTAGAGTGCTTGCCCCCCATAAAAAGATTTGTTTATTTTTATAAGTGGTCAGATGAACCCTGGACTCTTCTAGGCCAGCCAACTACTCCTGACCGATTTACAAGGATGCAAAAATAGTACTTTGTTCTACAAATTCCACCCTTCTTGCCCTGCCCAACACTCAGACCTTGGCATGCAGCAGCACAGCCACGTGTGAAACCACCAACTGCAAGCCTTCCTGGACTGAAACTCAAGCCAGGCCACGTGGCAGAGGGCCCAAGCCAGCAGGGGGCAGGAGGTACATCATGGATGTGGCCAGGGAAATCAAAGCAACAAATGTAGGTGTGGTCCTGGCAGAAATGCCCCTTGGGGAGAGCTGAAGATACATGTTGTTCCTAGCAAGTCAGTCCAAGAGTCTGTGTGCAGAGTCCTGGGGGTAGCCTGGTGCAACCTAGCAGTACCAACCGTCTAAAGATGCACCGTGGTGATCCAAAGGATGCAGAGAATGCCATCATCCCACAGAAAGCCAAGGCAGGAGCAGTGAGGACTGAAGAAGACACAGGACAGTGAATTTTAGCGGAACACGAGTTCTAATTGTGCGGCTCAGAGAAAACGAAGAGCTGATCTCCACGAAGCCACAAAACCAACTAGGGTAAAAACAAGTTTCAGGAGGCTCGCATGAGGGAGGAGGGTGGACATCTGCTCAGGACCAAAGAAGAGATCTAGGTCCAACAACAGAACTCTCGAGCTACACAAAGTTTCCTTGATTTATGTCCCAGAACTGGCTGCCTTCGAGAGGATGGCCTGGGGTAACGGGCCGCTCACTAGTGACGGAGCAAAAGAAGACGGCTGCATCACCCACAACCACCTAGCGTGTCCTGAGGATTAGCGCGGGAAGAACCCTGACCAAGGGTCCTCAAATCACAGCTTAGCTCTGGCCACAAACTACCCAGTATGAGCCTTGGACAGGCCTCCACACCATAAGGCGGATGAGGCTCTGCAGCCCAGTGACAGAGGTGACACAGCAGTCATAGTCAGGATGCTGAGCACAAGGGAGGTAGATCCAACACCTCTGCTCCTTTGACCAAGTCCTACCCACTTGGTGCCAGGATTAACTCAAGAGCAGCCAGAGAAGCGAGCACCTTTTCGTTCTGATCCCATAAACTAGGAGCGGGAGGAGTGAAGCATTTACGCCCCAGCAGTCTAGGAAGCTGTCATTTCCGGTTTAATCTGAAAGAAAACTGAGTCTTAAAGTTATACAACTAATAACTAGGTCTAATTTTAGTCTCTGTACTTCCGGTCTCAGGTTCAGGAAATCCAAGCACCAGTCTTTTCCAGCAGCCTCTGCAGCTTCTAAGAAAAGCTGGGTACCTTTTGGCTCATGAGGAGAAACTGCAGACAGATCATTAAAGCATCCAATAATCACAATTCATTCTGTGACTGAGGTCACCTGTGTGTTCTGAACATTCCCAAGGAAGCTGACCTTCTATTTGGCCCCCTCTGTCAACTATCTCAAAGAGCCATTTGCCAAGAAAGAAGTAGGGAGTGAGACAGTGTTTGTATGTCAAGAAGAGTTAAGATCCCTCTGAAGGGTCTGTGCACCTAACTTGCCAGTGGCCTGCCTGGGAAGGAAAGGAGATCTGAGGCGGTGAAAAGGTAAGGGGGCCGTGGGGTCTGTGAACATCAGGAGTACGCAGGAAACACTCTGGCCACCAGTGCTGCACCAGCTAGCCCAGGAGGTGACAGGGTGCGGTTTGCCCCGCAGCTGCAGCTTTGGAAGACGAAGTGAGATGTGGTGACAGATATCTGAGGGACCGGGAAAGGTGCTCCAGGCAGCCACTGAGTCAGGGATTAGGGGGATCAGGGAGGCTTTATGGAAGAGGTGGCACTTGAGCCAGGGCCTTACAGGACAGCAGGACTCAAAGATGCAGGAGATACCAGCAAGAGATTAACTGCTGACATCTTAACCCTCTCTCCCGGCACCAGACTCCCGCTGTGTCTTCCCAGGATGAATCTCCACTCTGTATACCCAGCATTCATTCAGTCTCCAGACAGAGGTGGGCATGGGCTCCCTTTCTCTTCCCCAGCACAGGAGGCTTCCTTGAAGCAAGGAAGCGACAACTGCCCAGGTCCAGAACGGCCGCTCACCCCCTGCACCTGACCTTTAGTGCTCTGTTGCTGCATGGAAAATTCAGACCACCGAGATCCATCTGAGGGCGTGCAGCTCAGGATGGGCGCTACCCCGACAGAGGCCTAACTGGGTTAACACCACGGTGCCTGATCTTAGTAAACCCCAGCTTTTCTCCTCCCAGACCGCTTGAAAACAGAGGCCTGTATTTAAGTTCTAATCCCTGGGTCACCAGGAACTGGGAATACCTGGACTCTCACACTGCCTTTGCTCAGCTCTGTCACGCAGAGAACAGAAACTGCTGGGCTGTGCTGGGTCTATCGGGTAAGGCACTTGCTAGATGGGCAAGGCAGGTGTTCAGCAACTGGCAGCTGGGAGTCTGATACAGAAGTGGACGGCAACGACAGGCCTAGTTCTCCAGTTTCTTCTATTTGTTCATGTGTAAGGCAAGGATCTCACTATGTTGCCTAGG